GGGGGGGGGGGGCGTGGCTGCTCCCCGGGCGAGCAGGGCGTGGCCCCAGAACAATGGAGCTTGGAGCATCCGGCTCGCCTGGGCTGCACATCTTAGGATTTGGATCTTATTCTTTTACTGCAAAGCGGGGATAGAAGCCTCCCATAGGATGGTCAAACATCCCTCTGGGGAACGTCCTTGCAGACGGCCAATTCTCTCACACCAGAAGCGACTTGCAGTTATTTATTATTATTTATTTCATATATTTATATCCCGCCCTTCTCCCTACAAGGGGGACTCAGCGCGGCCTCACATGAGCATCAGAGGATGCTAACAGCATGTTGTTCATTCGTTCGGTTGTCTCCGACTCTTCGTGACCTCATGAACCAGCCCACGCCAGAGCTCCCTGTCGGCCGTCACCACCCCCAGCTCCTTCAAGGTCAGGCCAGTCACTTCAAGGATGCCATCCATCCATCTTGCTAACAGCATAAATACCATAAAAATTACAATTCACAATAAAATCATTTCAAAACATTATACAACACCATCAGTAAAATTTAACAATAAATTAATAGTTTAACATGCCAGTAAAACCAAGCCGAGCCAAGAGAATCCATGTCACAAAATCCAAATTTCATTTTCCTATTGCCGCTGGCCTCTAATCAAACACCTGGCTCCAGAGCCAGGTCTTCAGGTGTCTTCTAAAGGACAGGAGGGAGGTGGCCAACCTGATATCCTTAGGGAGAGAGTTCCACAGACGGGGCCACTGCTGAAAAGGCCCTGTCTCTCGTCCCCACTAACCACGTTTGCAAGAGTGGTGGGACCGAGAGCAGGGCCTCTCCTGATGATCTTAAGCTTCGTGATGGTTCATAGCAGGAGATACGTTCGGACAGGTAATCTGGACCAGAACCATTCAGGACTTTAAAGGTTAAAACCAGCACTTTGAATTGTGCCCAGAAGCTAATTGACAGCCAGTGGAGCTGGCGCAACAGAAGAGTGGTATACTCCCTGTATGCAGCTCCAGTTAACAACCTGGCCGCCAACCGCTGGACTAACAGTTTCACACGTTGCTCCTGACATGAAAATAATACTTACAAAGCATGGATTTCTTTTTGAAAAATATGAATGGAATGTGTCCATTATATGCACTGTGTACCCTTCCTCCATCATTATCACCATGTAAATAGGAGCCCCCAGTGGTGTAGTGGGTTAAACCCCTGTGCCAGCAGGACTGAAGACCAACAGGTCACAGGTTCAAACCCGGGGAGAGCACGGATGAGCTCCCTCTGTGAGCTCTGGCTCCCCATGCGGGGACATGAGAGAAGCCTCCCACAAGGATGGCAAAAACCTCAAAAACATCCTGGCGTCCCCTGGGCAACATCTTTGCCAATTCTCTCACAACCAGGCCCGTAGGCAGGATTTTGATTTGGGGGGAGGGGCTGTGTTTGATTCCTGGGGGGAGGGGGGTCAGGATCTACCCTAGCAAACCTTTTGTATCGTTACCCCAAAATGCATATGGGATATATTGAGCATGGTGATCAGATCATGATATGAATAAACATAACATTTTAAATAATGTACCAGTAAGGCCTTCTCATGGACCACCCTGAGAATTTGGGGGGGGGGGGGGGGTGAGGCCCCTCAACCCCCCCCCCCCCTGGCTACAGGCCTGCTCACACCAGAAGCAACTTGCAGTTTCTCAAGTTTCTCCTGACACAGGGGAAAAAACCATGTAAATATGTGGCCCTGTCTCTTATAAAGGGTTGGTTTAACCCAGGCATGGTCCAACTTTGGTCCAGCCTAGGAATTGTGGGAGTTGAAGTCCAAAACACCTGAAGGGCCCATCTCAGATTGGCTAGTAAAATTACCATATAAAAATCACCCTGTCTAATGTTCACCTTATTTTTTTTGCATTGCCAACATTGAAGCGTGCATTAAATTCAATGGCACGTGAGAATCACACCTATAAACCAGGCATGGGCAAACTAAGGTCCAGGGCCGGATGCAGCTACTTGGGCGCTTACTTCAGGCACTCCTTATTTTCCTTGTTCTCTTGGCTTAAAGACATGGTGGCCCACCACATCCTTACACCAAAAAGATTAGGGAGGAAGGCACGCAGCAGCTGAGAGCCCTCTGGAGCGCTCTCAGCTACAGCATGTCTCGCCCTCCTCCCAGCATAAGGACGGTGCAAGCGGCCTCATCCTTATGCCAGGAGGACAGCTCAATGAAGACGCATGGCAGCTGAGAGTCCTCTGGAGTGCCCTCAGCCACCATGTGCCTTGCCCTCCTCCCAGCATAAGAACATTGTAAGCGGCCCCCTACTTATGCCAGGAGAAAGGCACACGGCAGCTGAGAGCCTTCCAGAGCACTCTCAGCCACTGTGTGTCTTGCCCTCTTCCCGGCATAAGGGCAGTGCGAGCAGCCCCAACCCTTATGCCAGCTGGAGGAAGACACGAGGCAGCTGAGAGCCCTCCTCCTGGCGTAATGTTAAGAGGACAGCCTGAAGATTGGGGGAAGAGGATCAGGGCAGTCACCATGTGTCTTGCCTTTCTCCCAGAATAAGGATGCAATGAGAAGCCCTGTCCTTATGCCGGGAGAACAACCTGAGCCCTGTCCTGCTCTTACCTGGCCCTTCTTGCCCAGAGTGTGCCTGGTCCTCCTGACCGGGCCCACAATGCTGCCCCAAAGCAAAAAAGTTTGCCCATACCTTCTATAAACCTTCTTGCATGAAAAGGCCCAAAAAGACCAGGAGACCAGACAGGGAGGTGGGAGCAAAGAGGCTGTTCAGGGCTCTGTGGTGCACGGAGGAGGAGTACCCAACGGGCAACCCAGTCCTCCCAGGGCTACAGGGCCTTAGGCCTCTCTGGCCAAAGGAGCAGGAAGCATCTCCCTCATCGCCTTCCTCTGGGTGCAGCCACACGTCTTACCTTCCGGGCAGCCCTCGGGGTCTCATCCCACTTGCCTCTCCAAGGCTCAGCCCTGCACTGTTTCTGACTGGCATCAGTCACAAGGTCTTTTCCAAAACCTCCCCTTTGGTTTTGAAGGCCTCATGAACGAGGCTAGTCAAGAATTGTGTGAAGCAGGTGAGTTTGCCAGCCTTGGCCTGACAGAGAGGTGTAGCGTCCCCATTGGCCTCTTTCCTACTAGTGCGGCCTCTTTGCCTCCCTACCGTTGGGCACATTATATTTGATGGCAAATCCTTTTTTTATAATGTGCACCTTCAAAGTAAATGTGTGTGTTACATTCAGTGGTACGTTGAGTACTGTGTCTCAAAATGAGGCATGGTCACCAACATGAAAACTCTGGATTAAACTCAAACTCAAAACCTCGGCCTTCCCAAGAGAAGAAAATGGATTTGCAAATGGATGTGCACTCCCATCACTCCACTTCTTTCCTCACCCCATCATTCCCTGTGTCAGAACAATGCAAACACATATCCACAGGAGGCTTTTATAAATCAGTGAAGAAGGCAACACCAATGGAAGAGTGGGATTAGCACTGAACGAGCATTGAAAGTGGAAATCCTCAGTAGCCTGGTGGAGGTTAAATAACAATATTCTGCTGCTTAGGAAGAAGGATAAATGATTTGAACAAGATGAACGTGTTATCCTGGGATCTCCAGTGCCAACGAGCCTTAGTACAATTTTCAGGAACAATTGTTTTTATAACTGATCTTAAATCAGACCCAACCACTTCAAGGTCTGGGAATTGGAAAATCTTTTACATTCAGGTTTCTGCTGCCTTCCATTTTGCTTCCATCCATTCTTCCATTCTCCTTAAGTCTGGTTCTTGTAGGTTTTTTTGGGCTATATGGCCATGCTCTAGAAGCATTATCTCCTGACGTTTCACCTGCATCTATGGCAAGCATCCTCAGAGGTCGTGAGGTCTGATCTAACAACCTCTGAGGATGCTTGCCATAGATTCGGGCGAAATGTCAGGAGATAATGCTTCTAGAACATGGCCATATAGCCTAAAAAACGTACAAGAACCCAGTGATTCCAGCCATGAAAGCCTTCGACAATACTTTGTTAAGTCTCTTTGCCAGAAATTGCAATTGATTTGGACCTAATAGTAACAGCTAGCTTGGGTTTACGGAAACGGTTGGCAGCCAGTTGCATAATCAACCAGGCCCAGTCCATCCATAATGGATACTGAAGTGGTATTCATAACACTAATCTTACTAGGGTTTTCAGATTAAATGGGTCTAGAATTTGTTTACCATACCTTTTTCTGTGCAGTTCTGGTTCCTTTACATTGTCTCCTCCACTACGCCCACTCAATCTCGCACTACTACGGCTGCCCAGTAGTCTGGCTCCCCAGCAAAAGCCTGCTTTTGTTGTTGTTATAAGCCTTCCCACCACATTTTGAGTTTTGCAAATTGCGGATTTAATTATTAACTAATTTCATTAAAAATGTTTTCTGAAGGGGTCTGTAGGTCCTTTCTCTAGTCATGCTGGACAACCTCTTGATTCCTAGAGGCAACAATCCTCTAGAATCTTTAGGTCCTCCAATGTGATTCTATGGTTGACTTTCAACAAACATTGGCCATCCAATCATGCTGGAAGACCTAGAAATGCCCAAAGAAGTGTTCTCTCCTATAATACAATATAATATAATATAGCAATTTTTTTATCCATGTGTTTGGTTTTTTTACTTCCACAGGGGTCCAGTGTCCATAGAATGGCAAATGGGCAGTGCTCCCAATGTTTATTTCTATCTCACCTATTTTTCAGAGCCCTCAGTAGCGCAGTGGGTTAAATCCTTGTGCGGGCAGGACTGCCGACCAAAACATTGGTGGTTCGAATATGGAGAGCAGGGTGAGCTCCCATCTGTCAGCTCCAGCTTCTCATGCGGGGACATGAGCTAAGCCTCCCATAGGATGGTAAAACATCCAAGCGTCCCCTGGGCAACTT